CAGAAGGCCTGGGCGCATCGCCCAGGCCTAGGCGGATATCCCTGGGCGCCCTCCTGAACCTGCCTAGGTGGCCACCTGGGGGAGGAAATACGGCTCCTTGAGTGTATTTTTTGGTCATTTTTTTAATACTAAAGGGGAAAAATTGTGGGTTTTAAGTTCATTTGAAACCTAAAACCCATTTGAGGCTATTTTAGAGAGAGAAAACCTCCAAAAACAAAATTCTACTAGGCCACCTAGGTTCTGGGCACCTGCTTGAAAGTCCGCCTAGGCGTTGGGCGGCCTGGACCCCTTCGACCGCCTAGCGCTTTTTGAAACACTGCTCACTCTACAATAGATTCAGCTCTGAGACCATGATGGATTTCATAGAAGTAAAAGCACTTGATATCTTGGCTGTATTGTAGAGAACAAAACACTGAGAGAGGAATGGAACCTTTCTTGAAATGCTTGTTACTAAGATGGAACTCTAATAGGATTTATGTATAACATATAATTTTGGATTGTACCAAACTACCCCTTCACTAATGCATATAATGAGAACGTAAGACAATACACATGTAGACAAATATTATACAATTATATTTATTATTCTCTCTTTCCTGGATGGGTGGACCTTCATTGGAATTCTTAGTGCAACTTTGGATTTCCCATGCACTTCGAGAAAGCTTATGCACATGACATTCTTGTGACGTGCATTTATATATGAATTTTCATGTAAATTTATGTTCTTTTCTTAGGAAGAATGTGTTTTAAAAGAATGTACTTCAGTTCGGCCTTCGCTTGACATGTAGAAGCTTCATTAAATCCAAAATGTACAAAGGATAAATACAATTGCAATATTCCCTTATGATGGTAAGCTCATTAGATCAAAGTTACCCTCAAGTACCCCCACATTTTCTATGCTGATTTAGACTCCCACATTTTCTATGCTGATTTAGACTCACTCACCACAAATCTGATTTAGACTCACTCACCACAAATCTTACATCATTCACGTATTGACCCAAATAAGTTCAAAATGTCATCATATGCAACTCTTTACCTCTACAGGCATGAGGATTTTCCTCTTACGCACATGATTTTCTTCTATCTTGCTAAAATTGAAGAAAGTGGCTTCATTTCATAGTCATGTGGGATGTCTTTGATTTTGAGGTTCACATACATGGGTCCATGCACATATAAAAAATTGGTATATTTTAATTATTAGAAATCAAATGGCAACAACCAAGGGCCAAGTGTTTTTGCCACTATTTGTGCAACTTTAGATTATTTGGGTGTTATTAGAGTTGTAGGGTTCATTTGTACATCTGTCTTTCTTATAGACAAATTTGAAGCATGTGGGTGTCCATACCAAAATTTCGGGATATTAGGAAAGTTTAGCAACCAAAGATTTTAGAAAAAAATTGAGGAATGTGTCTCTTGAGTTAGGTTCGGACACGTTCAAACACTTTCTATGCAACTTACCCCCAACCTAACTTTGTCTCTCACTGTTTTCCCCAAAACAAATTTTCTATGCAAATACCCCTCCAAGGGAAAAAGTTCATTTTTTTTTAGACGGAATGCCCTTTTTGTACACAAAAATCATTTTGGCGAGATTTGACGTTGCCTTTTGGACCCTAGTAGCACATTGTCGGAGCACATAAGTGCCGGACCACCCTAGTACAACTACTGGACCGAAACTAAGTATTGCCGGTTTACATAGTGCTGGATCCCTGGAATCCATTAACATCTACTGTCGGACCTCCCTTTGCAGCTATCGGACCGCACTTTACACAGTGTTGGAGCCCTACTGTTGGACCGCACTTACATAGTGCTGGAGCCCCTATTTTGGTGGGATAGAGGAGAGAGAAGCGTGGGTAAGGTAAAAGTAAGGGAGGGTAGTTTAGGCATTTTTTTATTTTTTATTTGGTTGGGGGGGTATTTGCATAGAAAGTGTATTTTGGAGAAAAAAGTGAAAGAAAAAGTTAGGTTGGGGGTAAGTTGCATAGAAAGTGTAGTCTTGGGGGTTTTTTGTAATTTTCTCTATTTTTAAATATACACTCTTTTCATTCTGCTGGATAGTCTCAAAAACCAAGTATCTGAAACGCACCCTAAAAATTATTTTGGTTTTTAACCCAATGATCATAGACTGTCCATCTATGGGATGATTAGATCTAGGTTTTAGAGGGATTCCTTTTCATTGCAAAATTTTTAGATGGACTTATCATCATTAGATGAATTTCTTTAAAAAAAAATTGATTTTGAATTCTTAAGGTGCAGATCTTAATGTCCACTAAATGGAAGGTTTGGATTCATGGTTAGAAAGGGACTGATTTTGTTTTTCTAGAGAAAATTATATGTTTCTTTGTGGGATTGGTTGTTGGAATGAAAATGGTGCCATGTGCAAAATTTATGTATGTATGTATGTATGGAAGGTCTGGATTCATTGTTAGAAAGTGACTGATTTTGTTTTTCTAGGGAAAATTATATGTTCCTTTGTGGGATTGGTTATTGGAATGAAGATGGTGCATGTGCAAAATTGATGTATGTATGTATGTGTGTAGCCAACTGGCTAGTGCAACTGACTAGCTAAGTTTATATCATTGATTTTGAGGATACCTTGGCATGATAATGTCTGCTTGTACTATAGGGACTGAGAGTAGTTAATAGCCATCTCGAATGTGTAGAACATTCTATCTTGGTGTCTCGAAGGTAGACAAGATTGTACCGTGTTGTCCGTTAAGGCTCTTTATGGTATGAAAAGGTATCTTTGACTTGCTTTCAAATATTTAGAGATGTGATATTAAATTGCTTCTTGCAGAGTCACTGTTCGATTTTTATTTATTATATGTGCCCTGGGATTGTTGTTTCGTGTGTGATGATGTAGATAAGAATTCATATAAGAAACTTCTGCTGAATTTTGAGTTTCAGATGGACTTATTGACATGAGGTGCAGGGTGTATAGTATGGGTATTGTATGGGTATAGACTTAACTTTACATAGGATATTGGTCTGAGTCATTGCACTGATAGCAGAAGATGGATACACCCCTCAAATTGAGTGTTGAGCAGTTGGTCTCGTGGCAGATCCAGTAGGTACTCAGTAAGAAGCCTCATCTACATGTCTAGGACTTCACCTTTGTTGTTTATGTTGTTCTTGTGATCAGTGGTGAATCATCCTTGAAGACCAAATTGTATGCTATATTGGATTGTTTGTTTGCTTTTGTATACTCCAGGGCAAGGTTTACTATTTTTGTCATCGTCAGCTGCCTTGAGTTAGTTGCCTATGCATATACTATTCTTGTGGTCAGTGGTGAGAAAAGTACAAGGGTAGAGGGTAAGGCAAGCAACAGATGGCTCAGTACAAAAAATGAGATATAGGCCAAAAAAAAACTATACATCCAAAAATGGTGGCGAAGCCATGGATCCACCAAAATAGAAAATAAAATTTGCGGGACCAATAGCTCAAAAAGGTCCCCGTCGTGCTATCAGAAGTGCTCCGTCTTTAGCGAGGCCATGGCAATTGAGTTGGCCTTGCGCCACATATGCCTCCAAATGTTGAAAATTTGTCAAAAATGTGCTCGGGTCTCCACGGGCAACGTGAGGCCCAAGAGATGACATTTTTGGAGTCCCCTTCAATGACCAAAAAAGGGTTTCATTCGGGGTTGAAGCATTTAAGGCCTTGCGAGGAGGGCAGGAGCCTCCGCCTTGGTTGAATCCGCATGACCAATGTGTTTGGAGAAGGAATGAATGGTGGAGCCCTCTTTGTCCCTGAAGATTTACCCTATTCCAGCTTTGCTAGGATTGGCAAGGGAGCAACCATCAAAATTTAGTTTAATTTGGTCTAGCTCTTGTGGTCTCCATAGGGAGGTGGGGGGATTTAAGCAGGCCTTAAAGTTAGCATAACTTCTCAATATTCTATGAAGTGTAAAAAACACTCTGTCAGAAGTGCCTTAATGGTTGTATGATTCCTTGCCCAAAAGATCACCAAGGATCTGGTGCACTCATTCAGAGCAGAAATGTTGGGACCGCGGAAGATTCTGTGGTTTCTACCAGTGGATCTTAATTCATTATTGGTTTTTTCTAAAACCAAAGACTGTCTCAGACTTGCCAGGATCCTAAGTCTGAGTCACCTGGTCCCACTAGGGGGTGTCCCGAGTGGGACCAGTGATTTAATAACATATAAGTTCAGGGGCGGGGGAATACTCTGGTGTGATTCTGAGATTTTCCCAGGAATCAGCAGGTTCCTGACCCGAGCCAACTCGGGTGAGTCCCTAGTCGGCAAAATGTTTCTTTAAACCTTGTTTTGCTGTCAATCTTTTTCACTTTGTAGCATGTCATCAGGGCTATGGTTGAATACCTGTATGCAGTCATCTTAATAGGAAGGAGAAGTGTTATTTTTCTGGATATCATTCATGCATGTTGTCATGTAAGTGAGAGTCTTAAACCTACTATTGTGTAAAAAATTGATGTTGATGGATATGCATGTACAAGCTAATTAGCCACACCTTCATAGGGACAAATTCAAGCAGCAATAATCCAAAAAGAGAGGGTTAACCAACGCAGCAAGTAGAACAAACTGTTAGGATGCCTCTGTAGAATGCTAGCTAGTTGACTGTTATGTATATCAAGTATTCAATTTAATACTTTGTGATTCATATTGCTAGTTAGTTTTGTTATTTTGTGGATTCCCGGGCTCAGGTTGTTAATTTGGCTTATAATTGTTAATTGTATATGTGTGTGTTCTTTCATCTTATGATGTTATCTAGCACTTTGTATTACCATCAACTCACATCATTGTACTTCCAATTTACCCATATAGATTGCTGTGAGCTTTTGCTGCCTCGTAAGAAATTAAAGCCGCTTAGAGAAGCATTTTTTCCCAACCTTTATATGTGGAGAAAATAACAATTACTATGGGAATTTCTTTTTGCCTTCTAGTAATAGACTTCTAAGGGATATGAGCTTGACCATTTTAGGATATCTCTTGGCCCATGATGAAACGGTATTGTTATATGTTTTTAGGCGGTTTGGCACTTGGCCAGTTGGCATGCTTGCCCAAGGCAAAGCAAAGACCATACTTGAAGGCCCTGTTTGCAATGGAAGTCAAGTAGTTGGGTGGCATACAAATGAAAAGAGCAAGAGACTCCGTAGGTTCCATGTTGATATGTCAGGATTTGCCTTCAATAGCACCATATTATGGGATCCTAAAAGGTGGCACCGGCCAACTTCTGATCCTGTAAGGCAGCTGGACACAGTCAAGGAGGGTTTTCAGGTAATGTATAAATAGCATATATGGGATTGTATATAATGAGACCACTTACCTTTGGTACAAGGAGGTCCCAATTTCTTATAACCATCCGATGTGAAATCTAATAGCTTGGTGTGTTACAAAGTTAAGTTCGAGAAAATATCTTTTGAACATTGAGCTTGGTCAATGGAAATTTTTTTCTTTTGGGGTGTTTTTTTTGGGGGTGGGGGGGAAAGGGGGCTGTGGGTGCAGAGTAGTAAGAGTAGTTTCTTTTCCTCCTTGTCCTCCTCCCTAGGGAGGGAGGACTGATTGAGATTTTAAATAAGCTTTGATCGTTTTCCACTGCAGCCAATGCATATTCTTTGAGTAAAGATAGTTCTGTTTGGCTGGACTATTTAGTAATAAATAAGTCTATTAACTCCCTTGCTCATTCAAGGGTGTACAAGGAAAGAGCTTGATCCACATTGCTATTTAAGGGCATGGCACTTTCCTTCCCATGTTTATTGAGAATACCCTGCAAAATGAGCCCCGGCCATTTTAAAAAGTGTGTTTTTCATTTGTTTCTGAAGAGCTCCATTCTTAATTGAAATTTTTGAGTAGTCCAAATGGGGTCTTCGGTTCAGTAATTTTGTGAGCACGGTTTGTTACGCTTCATTTCTTTGTCCTTGTTTGTTTAGTCTTGTAAACTCAATATGTAATCAGAAATTTTGGCGCAGTTGTCAATTTTTTTCCTTGATTTCCTTTATGATTTACTAAAAAACCAATCTGTTTTTTTTTTTGGGGGGGGGCGCAGGAGACCACATTTATAAGGCAAATTGTTGAAGATGAAAGTCAGATGGAAGGCCTGCCGCAAGATTGCTCGAGGATTATGGTTTGGCATCTTCACTTAGAAGCTCCAGACCTTGTGTACCCAAGAGGCTGGGACCTTCAAAAGAACCTTGATGTCATCACTCCTTTATAGTAGGGACCATGTCTACTGGATTATCTCTTTTTGGAGACCCAAGGTTTGTAGCATGTATGATGTATCCAAAATAAAAGTTCGTAGCATATACCATGTGGTGTCTGTTTGAGAAAGTACACGTGCATAGACATGCATAGCACATATTCATACGTACATCAATATACATGCATGGATGCATAGGTACTAGATAGATTTGAACCTGGATAATACATGGATGCTACACGTAATGTTGATTGCTTGTGCCCTCATGTATGTATGAGCAGCTCTGTGTGTGTTGCACACATGTGTGTGTGCATGCGTGTGTGTGTGTGTTGTCCTCTATACATAAACTTTGGTTGGTAAAGATATACTGAAAAATTGGAAATACCATATCTGAGTTCATGTTTGGCGATTTCCTTGATTAACTTTGTCAATTCCTTAAGTGATTTATCATACCCACGAGGAAGTACTTCATCCTTAGTAATTTCTTGGATGGATCAGGCTAGCTTCATAAAATTTCTGTCACACAAGCTTGGCTATTCTATTAAACTGGACGTTCAATCCTTTTTTCTGTTTATTTATATATTTATTTTTATAGGAGTTGCCATATGGCTAATCTCTTAAACTTTATGTTGAATATTCTTGATCTTTTGGCCTTTTTCTAATAGGAATTACGAAATGTGGTCTTCCATGCTCCCCAAGCAAAGGATATATGGCAAGTCGGCCCCTGTCATTTGCCACTTGGTGGTGATTGTATTCGGTAATTGGTGGATTCATTATTTTTTATGGGTGGGTCAATTTTCTCAATTTACTGTGATTTTTATTGATGATTCTCAAAGGCAGAAGGTGATTTTAGTTGTTTTGTTTGCTTCAATCGGCTCAAAACTTGCTGCACGCCAAATGGTGATGCCTTGTGGAGGAGGAAAGTGTTTTTGATTACTAATGGATTTTGTATTCCTCTTGTAGAGAAATTTGTGTTCAGCAATTTATCTGTTTACCATAAGCATTTTATCAGCATTTTTAGCACCATCTTCAGCATCAAGTTGAAGTTGGGGGGATGAAAGATACATGAAATGAAGACGGACAACCTTAGGGGCATGTTTGGTGATTGGAAATTGCGGATTACCTGGGACCTGGAAGTTCTGGCTCCCTAGAAGTGGGCACTGTTGATATCCGTAAGTTTTGGAATACTTGTTTGATGACAATTGGTAGTTCAAGGACCAAGATTGGGCTTCAGTAATTTAACCAAGTTTCACGGAGATTAGGCTTCCCGGCTTCAAAGAGAGAGGGGGGGGGGCACAATTAGAAAGAGATGACTTAAAGGAATATGATTAGAGAGAGCAATGATACATTTAGAGAGAGAGTAAAGAGAGAAATGGACATGGTTAGAGAGAGAAATTAGAAAGAGAAACGGTATGGTTAGAGAGAGAAAGAAATAACACGAGATGTTAGAGTCAAAGAAATGACAAAATTAGAGAGGGGAGCTTAGAGAGAGAAAGAGAGAAATGGCACTATTAAAGAGTGAGGGAGAGAAAATGCATGGTTAGAGAGAGAATTTGGAGAGAGAGAGAGAGTAGTCGCAGGTGTTAGGGAGAGAGGGCATGGTCACATAGGGAAGGAGTTTGGAGAGAATTCGAGGAAGGAAGAACCCAAAAAAGTGTATAAAAAAAAGGTTGAGAGTTGAACTGAAAAAATGAGATAACCAAACTTTCATGGGGGTAAATTGCAAGTTCTCATTTTTTGAAAATCCAAAGCTAGTTTTTGTAGCATTCGTTAGCAAACAAGGAAAGTACTATTGAAAACTGGAACCTCCATTTCTTGATCTGAAATTTCTTGTTATCAAACATGCTCTAAGGCCGTCATAATACAAATAAATGACAAGTAGTGCATGAGAATACAAAATGTGCACTACTTGTAGCCGCCGTAAACTGTTACCAGATTTATTGAAAAACGGGCCTGCATGGTTTGTACTTTGTACTAGAAAGTAACTGCAATAAAAAGTAAGGCAAAATTATAGATTCCCCCAGCCTAAATTTTTCACATGCATTTTCCGTGTCTTAATAAGCAATCCCAAAAAAAACAAAATTCAATTTTCACCTTAGATATGATTATATTGAGTCCCTTTCAACAATAGATCTTGACAATCCATTTGGTAAATTTTAAAAGTAGGTCTTTTATAATTCAAAATCAATTCTTTGTTTTTCATTTTTAATATTCTTAATCTAATGATAATAAAGTGATCTAACTTGAAAAGGGAATTTTGTTTTTTGAAGATCCAGATCTAAGCATCCCACTAAATTGGATGATTTATATTAATTAAGCTAAAAAATACTTCCGAAGTTTTGTTTTTATATTGTCTTTTTGTGATAGTTCGTTACAATGAAAAATCTATATTTAAAAAATTGAGGTCAAACAAATGGCTCTAACATAATTTTTGAAGATGGTTTCATCATATTACTATATAACATTTATATGGAACCACTCCCCTAAAAAAAGAAGACAGTTCAATCAAGAGAAATCATAGGTGCAAGAAAAAATAACATTTGCAACAATATAATAACGATTTAGGAACTCTGAAAGTCCAAGAAGAACAGGGCAGTTTACCTGAAAGAAAATATTACCAAACAGAGAGGAAGACGAAACCTAAACTGCTCTGACGCGGGTGTCTGAAAACAAAACAAAAAATGATGGGCTTCTAGATTTTGATGGATAATGTCGTGGGACTCTGTATTATAGAAATCCAATGTTTTTCTAGAACTCTCAAGCAAACTTTCATGGTGGTCTTATATGACCTAGCAAACCCTATTTTAACTCTATTTTATAGAGAATTTAAGTTATTTTAATATGAAAGAAGTTTATATAAGGTTGCAACTTTAAAATGTAGAATTAAAGATGTACTTAAAAAAATCCATCGAAAAAGGTTGTTTCAATGTTGAAAGTTGACCATCTCAACATTGAGATGCATGAATATGAAAAAAAATAAAAAATAAATTTTAGTCTAAAAAATAGTGCATCTTGCAACACATTATCTAGACCATTGATTTTCAAAATTTTCGTATGTTTATAGATCTATTTGATTTTAATCATTTTGGAGTTTAGAATTTTATAATTAGCAATGAAAATAGATTTTTAGAAATCTTAAGAATTTTTTACACAAAAATTACATATTATGATAAATTTTGAAAGTATGCCTTAATTAGATTGTTTAAGGTTGCTGCTTTATACAAACCACACCTTTTTAAGATGACCCTCAAAATCTGGGATCTAGGGGAGTCATCCACTCATTGTTGGGGAAGAAGTTTTTTCTATCTAAAAAGCCTTTTATCACTAAAGGTTGGGAAAGAGATTTTCTTTTTCTAAAAAGCCTCATCATCATCAAAGTGTTTTTTCAACTAATAGGAGTCACTACATGAATATTGGTCCCTTATTCTGCTTTATTATGTGACATAGCTTTAGTGTGGCCATAAGTCTCCATAAAAATAAAAGATGAATAATACATATAATATTGTTGGAAAAAAATTAATTATGATAAAACAAAAAATATGTGGCACATGCAAGACCTCATGGCCACACGCACTATCACAAGGTGAACCCTCACCATAGCATTTACTACCGCCAAACATGAAAGTTTTGCTATAGAATCTGAAATTTTCGAATCAAACATACCTTAAAGTTTTGGACCTAATTGACATGTACCAAGATGCGTTTATGCACTATTCATTTGTTTAACATTTTACGTACTTTGTTTCACATAAAGAAGTACACCATGCACGTAGGTGGAATTTTTGTACATAAGGTGTCAATTGCTGGAATGCCTTGCTTCTATCAAGATTTTATGCGTGCACAGGTGTATGCTCCCCATGGCCTTTCCCAAGCTTGGATGAGAAAGGAGGAGGGTTGTGTTAGGTTGGTAGCTTATAGTAAACTTTTGTCACATTTCTATTATGAATTCAGATCACTTGATAGAGCAGAAATGGCGGAATAGAATTTTGAAAAAATTATAAAAAACTCTCCAACATACACTATCTATGCAACTTACCTCCATCCAAACTTTTTCTCTCACCTTTTTAACCACAACAACCTTTCTTCGCAAAAACCCCCCAAGGTAAAAAGTTACTATTTTTTGGACGAAAATACCCTTCCTGTACAAAAAAAAATCAATTGGCTCTAACTATCGGTCTGAAGTAGTGTATTGCCGGAGCGTAGTATACAACTGCCATAGCGAATTGTCTAGAACATACTGCTAGAGCGCGTATGTATCGAGCGCCGGAGCGCTTTGTAAGGATTGCCAGATCGCCATACGCACTGTCAGAGCACGTTCATATACAGCCGGAGCGTTGAATACACTATCGGAGCTAGCTATTACACTGCCAGAGCGCTGTGGCTCTAGAGCCTCTATTGCTAGAGTGCCTTTATAGACTGTCGGAGTGAAATGTCTCCAAAAGGTGTACCATCGGAGCGCGTTCATATACTGTTGGAGCGCTGAACACACTGTCGGAGCACCCTATTACACTGCCATAGTGCTGTGGCTCCAGGGCATATATTGCCGGCGCATTTTTTGGGGCTGCCAGAGCGTGTCGTCTCTAGAAACTGTACTGCTGGATCACGTCTTTGTATTGCCGGATCACATCTTTGTACTGCCGGAGCACATTGGGTAAATTAAAAAATGGAAAACAAGAGAGAGAAGGGCGTGTGAAAAAAAAGGTACTCTTTTGGGGGGTTTTTTGCGAAGAAAGGTTGGATGAGGGTAAGTTGCATAGATAGTTTTTATAATTTTCTTTAGAATTTTTATAGCAGATTCCAAATTGTTGAGATAAGATTAGAATGATGATGATGATGAATTTTAAGAATGGAGACAGTCATATTCAAATTTTAGGATGTCTCATTCATAAAATAATATTGGTTTAATAAGGGGTGAGGATTTTAAATTTGCCCTTAACCTATTACAAGCTCGGGTAAGGGATGTGAGTTGTATTAGGTAGGCAACCAGTATAAAACCTCGTCATATCTTATCATGAAAACTGACCCCAAATAATTTCGATAAGGTTTGGATGATGTGATGATAATCATTCATAAAATGACATCTTAATATTGATTATAAACTATTTTTGGATGGTTACGTATATGAGTATTTGGAAACTCAAAATCTTTTTCTCTTATAATTTTATAATAGCTTAAATAAGATCGGTTACCCTTAAGGAAAAAATTACAATGTGCTCCAACGAGGAATATTGTAATCATTCCTCATTGGAAAAGGTTTATACAAAATTGTAGCCTTATACCATAGAGAAAAGGCGCACGTAAAAAATCGATCGAAAACAGTTGTTTTGATGCTGAAAAGCCCTCTAATTGATCATCTCGATCTCGAGATATATTGATGTGGGAGAAAAAAAAAAAGATTTTAAAGTTTCAAAAATAGTCCATCTAGTAAAACATTATATAGACCGTCCATTTTCAAGAGTTTTATATGTTTGTAGATATACTCGATTTGTATCAATTTTTTAGTTTTAAATTTCATAATTTATTATAAAGTAGTTGTTTAGATCATCCGTGAAATATCGGACAACAAAATCGCATCTTTAGATGAGCTTTGGAGGCAAGCCTTATGCAGATTGGTTCAGGTCAACAACTTATACAAACCACACACCATTCTTCATTTACTTCTACTTTCAAGGGGTTTTTGTGGTTTTTTTTTTTTGGGTTTTTGTGGTTTTTTTTTTTTGGGCTAAGTTAGTAGGGACATTTGTCACTGCAAATAGCTAATTTTTAAATCCATTTTCAGTGAGATGGACGTAGACTTTTAAGTGGGACTGAGGTGGTACTACCACCGTGACCCATTCTCAAGGAAAATAGTTTGATAGGGCCGTGGCCATATCAAAATAAGTAAAGTTTCACTTCATAACTTACCACATATTATAATTAATTGTTGGAAAACCATTAAATTGGTCATCTCAACTTGAGCATTACGGTTGTGAAAAAAATCAAGATTTTAAATTTTAAAAATAATATATATTGCAACAAATCATCTAGACCGTCCATTTCACCTTAAAAATAAAGGTGGATAGATCCGTAAATTTTGGACTACTTTTTTACTTTTATATTTTATTACGGGTGTTGAAAATAAATTTTAGTACCATCTCAAAGATTTTTGATGCCGAAAGTACTTTCTACTTGCCGATTTAAGGTAAGGCTCTATTTTGTTTTCATAAAACCTAGGCCATCCATTTCTCAAACGTTCTTTATTTATTTCCGATTCAAAGAGTGACAAGGGCTTTTCTCGAATTTGGACAAAATGCTCGTTCTGAAAAAATGAAGAGACCTCGAGATTAGGATGACCACATGGGTTCGAATCTCCAATGTAGACATCCCCCATACCATCACATGATCCCAGTGAACCTCACTTCCTCCTTTAATTATTTATCCTTAGTGTTATATTGGGGTTCTCGTGTGCCGCGCTCCTAGAAAGCAGGTTAATGAAAGCACTCTTATTTTACTAATTTATAATGTATGTGTTGAAGCATTAATGGCTTTTGCTTTTGCTCGATAGAGTCGCACTACCGTTAATGGAGGCTCTGGCAACAGTAGCTCACCCTGCTTCTTCTACTCGTTTCTTTCCCAACACTGACACTGTCAAGAGGCCTCTTAAATCTCCTGCAGTTTGTTGTTCCAGGTATATACTTCATGATTACGTCACCTTCTCTCTCTGAAGAAATGGTTGTTGGAAATTTCTCTTCGGGTACCATGCTCGGCTGAATTTTTAGGTTTATTTATTCTTTTGGGATTTTGGCTCATGGGTCTCATATTGATATAGATGAAAATCATCTTCAATCAAAAAAAAAAAAAAAAAAGATTGGGTAATTTTGTGATACAGAAATGAATGGTGGATTTTTCATTTCTGCCAGCTTAACTTTAAGGCACTAGTTCGTTTTGATTATAAAAATTGTAGAGTAATTACCTTCGATTATTTCTCCAAATGTTATTCGTTTTCTGTTCAATTTAATTAACGAAAATATCTCGTATAGATGATGGTTTGCACAAATACAATCAAGAATCACATGGAAAATCAGTGCACTTCAGGTACTTGCATTATAAGAGTTCTATAAGGATTTGTGTTTTATGTTTGGAGTAGTTGGAAGAACTGAACATACAGGGTTTGGCCACTTCTTTTTCCTTTTTTTTTTTTTTTTTTCTTTTTTGAATATTAATTTGGCACCTCTGCCTAGAGCTTATTTTCAGGGTCGGCCTTCGCATGTGTATTTTGTCTAGATCCTAGTCCTTCTCAGACGAATATGTTAAGGGACCAACCTCTTGCAAAAAGCCATTGTAAGAACAGAATTATCAGAAAAGTTAATCCTCTTGATCAATTGCTCCGCTTAGGACTATCTCATTCATTACCTGAGATGACTGACTTGGCTATTGAATTGGAGGCGACAGAGTAAGTATCATTGATTAAAAAAATATCCTCACTAGAGTTAGAGACAAGCTTTCTATGATAGTATGTGAATTGATGGAAATGAGGGGCTAAGGGGTGTCATGTAAGCTTTTGATTTATAAATGCAAAGTTTTACCCTTAAATTGTGGCTACATTCTGCCTATATTCTGCATAAGATTCACCTTAAACCTTGAGGATGGTTGTTTCTGGTGCTAGTTTGGTTGAATAACTCAGTGAGAATTGTTCTGAGTCTCTGCCAGTTCTGGAATGTAGACTTGTGCAGCCACCTCATGTTCATTAGAAAATTTTCGGTTTAATTGCATTCTGAAACCTCTTATGGAAACAGTCTTCTTCAAAATCTGAACTTGGGGAATACTGACCTATGGGTGGATTTGAAGGTTGGAACTGGTTTATGAATGATAGATTTTAGGACTTTTGAGTGTGAATTGTGGGGAAAATTGGCAGACTGCTCTGACTACAGATTTCTTCATGGTGGATAGGTTCTCTTGTAGTTGTTTCCATTGCAAAATTTGTTGTGCATACAGTTTGTTTAACAAATTTTGATAGCTCCGAGTGACAAAATTAAAAAAATCAAGTCGAAAAGTTACTAACAAATTATCATTGGAGAGACTTTCTATGTCTCCTACAGTAGATAAATTATCTGTAGTTGGGATTCAGCCATTCAATTTGATTGGACGATTAAGAAAAACTCCAAAAAAAAATAGCAAAGAATAGTGAAAAGAAACCAAGTTACTAGCTAACATCCATTAACTATTTAGCAAACTCAAGCAGTTTCCAATTCCCTCAAACCCCCAAAACCGCGCGCTACTTGAGTTGAAGACAACCTTTCTATAATAATATATGAATTGATGAAAGCGAGAGACAAAGGGGTGTCATGTGAGCCTTTGATATATAAATGCAAAGACTTGCCCTTAAATTGTGGCTATAGACTGCATAAGATTCACCTTGAACCTTGAGGATGGTTGTTTCTGGTTCTACTTTGGTTGAATGACTCAGTGAGAATTGTTCCGAGTCTCTGCCAGTCGTGGAATGTAGTCTTGTGAAGCCACCTTGGGGTTGGTAGAAAATTTTGGGTTTAATTGCATTGTGAAGCCTCTTATGGAAACACTTTTCTTCGACATCTGAACTTGGGAAATATTGACCTATGGGTGAATTTGAAGGATGGAACTGGTTGGTGAATGATAGATTTGAGGACTTTGAGTATGGATTGTGGGGAAATTGGCGGACTGCGCTGACTATAGATCTCCTCATGGTCACATGTAGTTGTTTTCATTGCAAATTTTTTGTGCGTGCAATTTGTTTAACAAATTGTGAAGCTACCGAGTGGCAAAATTTAAAAAATCAAGTCGAGAAGTTTATCGATGGAGGGACTTTCTATATGTCTCCAACAATGGATCAATTATCTGTAATAGGGGCTCAACCATTCAATTTGATTAGTTGATTAAGAAAATCTCTGAAGAAAATAGCAAATAAGAGTGAAAAGAAGATTGAGTTACTAGCTAAGATCCGGTAACCATTTAGCAAGCCCAAGCAGTTTCCAACTCCCTCAAATCCCCAAAACCAAACCCATTCTTCCTCTATTTCAACTATAGTTACCCGAATCGCCTATGAGGGTAGCGATTCCATTTCGGAATCTCAAATGGGCGTTTCCCCGGGCGAAAGTCGATTCTAAAAGAAAGGAATCACGTTTCCATTTTTTGCGGAACACGATTCCACATAGTTTAGCAATCTCGATTCCTAGATTGTTGGAATCAAGATTCCATATCGAGGACTTTATGATTCTTAGCTACACAAGAATGCGATTCTGATTGTGAGAAACGTTGATTCCAAATTTTTTGGAATTGTGAATCGATATTGTTTGGAATCAAGTTCTATATCGCAGACATCGTGATTCCTTGCTACACAACAATGTGATTCTATGTTAAACGTTGATTCAAAGTATTAAGGAATTGCGAATCCATGTTGTCAGGAAGCAATGTGAGCATAGGGAAAGCAGAAACCCTTCGATGTGTGCTCAATCATGAGTGAGCCGGACATGTATGAGAGCGTGCGAGAATTTGAAGTTGTTGCACACGACAATAAAATCAAATCTTTTAAATAGGGTAATATGTGAGCATAGGGAGTGCAGAAACCCTTCGATGTATGCTCAATCATGAGTGAGCCGGACATGTATGAGAGCGTGCGAGAATTTGAAGTTGTTGCACACGGCAATAAAATCAAATCTTAAAATATGGGTAATATGTGAGCACAGGGAGTGCAGAAACCCTTCGATGTATGCTTAATCATGAGTGAGCACGACATGTATGAGAGAATGAGAGAATTTGAAGTTGTTGCACACGACAATAAAATCAAAATTTAAAATATACGTAACATGCTAAATTTTTTATTTTCTTATTTACTAATTTCCATCCTTCATTCCATGATACTTTTTAAGAACTCTTACCAAGAATAAATAATACTAAAAAAATATGTTACTTCAAATTTAATAATGTTTGGTAAATGGTGTGGGTACTAAACTACTAATGTGATAATATTTAATATATGATCGGCACTGTCATTTCTTCAAGTTGAATGAGAGGATAAAAATGCTTTTCTTTAAGTAAAATAAGAAGTTAATAAGGATATGAGCGAAGTGTCTTGTGTGGTGTTTTAAGTTAAATTAATCATTAAATATCTGAGAAATTGACTAAAAATTGAATAACTCAATTTTCAAAAGTGAAAAGACTCAAAAGTACATTTAACCAAGAAGAATTACTATGTCATGTACTTATTTTATAATTCAATGTAATGAGATAAAGGGAGCTTGCTCTTGTTCTCACTCCTTGTATGCCGTAGACTAGCTCCAGACGTTGTAGGCATAATAGGGTTATCGGTAGACCGAGTCCATTGTTGGGGATTGTCCGCAAAGATATCATAAAGGTTGACATTAGTACTTGGAGTCTTGGACTGAGTATATACAGACTAAAATTTGATCTTGTAGTAATGGGTAAACTTATATATTTTTTAAATATTTCTCTCATATATCGGGGGGAATTGGTTCGCAATTCTAGTAAGGGGAGAATCTCGATTCCTATATGGGGAGAATCACGATTCCGAAATGATGAGAATGTTGATTCCAAGTTGATGGAGACAACAATTTTAGAATTTAAAGAATCACGATTCCTTATTTTTAGGAATCACGATTCCATATTTTTAGGAATCACAATTCTAGCAACCACTGAAATAAGTGGGGTCTTGTGTGATTCCATATAAGTATGAAACACAATTCCAACATGAAGGGACATCGATTCTTGCAAATAAGAAACACGATTTCTAATTTTGTGAATCGCAATTCCGAAATAGTGAGAATCATTTTTCTCAAATCCGAATCGTACGCAACGATTCTTAGATTCCGAAACTTCTGATACACGCGATTTCACTATTTCGATTCCAGAAATGATTCGGAATCACGGACGTTTCCAACAAACCTAAGAAAATCTCCACTGTCTGCTCTCTCTCTTTGAACTTGCTAAGTGAATTAAAATTCACTAGCCTGGGCACCTAGGGAGCCTAGGGGGCTTACCTAGCCACATAGGTCCTAGGTGGTGCTTGGTATTACGACACCCCCTAGGTCGCATGATGGAGCCCTTGGCTCGAAAAAGGCCCTCGGCCAAGGGCTCCAAGTGTTGTAAGAGAGGAGCCTCTCTCTCTCTCTCTCTCACACACACACATACATATAGACCCATATTTTGTCTCCACAAGAAAAAGAAAACAACTGAATTGCCTAAAGTGTTTGATGCAAGGTCCCCCCTCTCTCCCACGGACCCATACGCTTTCTCTCTTTACATATAAGAAGAAGCAAAAGAAGCACTACAAGTGTAAGATGCAAGGCCTCTCTCTCTCTTCTCACATTCATATAAGCCCATGTACTCTCTCTCTACATATGAGAATAGAAAGAAGACAACCTCCTGGAAGGTGTGGCTATGTGGAACTTAAGGTATTAAATTCAAAAATTTCTTTTACTTTTATTCCAAATACCTGAATTCCACTTATATGTACCACAATATATTGCTGGAAAATTAAAATAATGCTCTAAATACAACCTAGGATATTTATTTTACTGCTAAGAGAAATAAAAACCATCCATGAACTTGAAACTAATGTTTATAACAAATTTTAACACAATATAAGTTCATGAAAAATTACAGAAAAATAGAAAATAAAACTGAAAATAAATA